AGGGACTCTTCTGCAACTCTGCTTAAGAAGACCAGCGGGTTGCAGCTAGAGCCAGGTTCCCTAACGACCCGCCTTTCTGTGCTCTTCAAGCCAGCCCACCCCGGCCCTGGCATGGCTCACTGGATAACATATACCAAGTGGCTTGCAGGTTTTTTCGCAACATAAAAATGACATTCATACAGCACAATCTATAAATATCTTCCCCAGTCAACCCCATCTGAGCAAGCGAGTGTTTGCTTACATCTCCATCTACGACAGATTTTTGGCATGGCACATCATCTGGGCATCTGCATATTTTTTAAACTGGGCATTCAAACTCTGTCAAGTTGTCAAGTGGTTTTATCCTGTGATAACTGACCACACGTCTTTTACATTCAATAATCAGTGTAACTCCATAAAGATACTATTACAGCTTGATGACTTAAAAAATTCTAAGTGGAAAATATCCATAAATTGTTAAGAGATAGTCTTACTAAGAACCACAAATAGTTCTTATTCCAGTTCCAAATAGCAACATGGCATTAAAACTCAAAAATAGATAACACTAATCACTATAATTCAAATAACTACTCTTTAGACCTGGCAGGGAACCTTGGGAACTTTGAACATCACCCTTAATTGCTTTTTCCCAGGAAATTCTGGCAGAGCAGAGGGAAGGGAAAGCATATTTTGGGACTCAGGGGTTTGTGAAGAGTGGTTAAACTTAGGGAAAGCCTGAGAGGCAAGTGGCATCTGTTACCTCCCTCCCTTTCACTTGCCCACTCAGAAGCCCAGCATTTCTGCAATCATACTCAAGTCATTCTTGATTAGGACTGTACTGGAAATATCTTCATGGGACTCTTATAGAAGGAAAAAATCAAGGACAAATAATAAGCTCTGAACTAGCACTCATCCTTTGCATAGCAACTTACAAACCCTTCACTAGTGTGTTCTCACACATTATTTCCCCCAAAACAGTAAGTAGATGTTATTATTATTCATTACTTCAGAAGGATCAGGCCGCAGGGATCTAAGCTAGTTTTTTGTTTAGTTTGGTTTGGTACGGGGGATCAAAATCAGGACCTTACACTTGAGAGGCAGGCATGGCACCACTGAGCTACATCCCTAGCCCCTAAGCTAGTGTTTGAAGTCCCACAGCTAATAAGTGATAGAGCTGAACCTCCAACCAGTCTTTTCACTATCTAGTCCATGTGGTCATTACACTACCAAACAGCATTCCAGTACAGTACAAAGAATGTTAAATCAAGAATAAAGGTGGGCATCAAAAATAGTCAATCATCAATAGTCAAAAAAAAGAAAAAAAGACTAACTGAATAGGAAGATCAGGGAAGTGAGATACCCAAATGGTCAATCAACATACAGAAAGGTGCATACCTTCACTACCAATCTAGGAAATGCAAATTAAAATCAAGATCATGCCAGTTAGACTTGCATGAGAATACCAAGAATCGTGTCGGGCAAGGAGCAGTGAAAATTCTGGCACACTGCCTTGGCGTGTACATTAGTGTGATCTGTCGGGTCGGCCGTTTGTCATCAACTCACAAAGCTGAGACACACGCGGCCAGCACTCAGCAGTTCCACACCCAGGTACAGAGCTCAGAAGAACTCCCTGTGTGTGCATAGAGCTTCACAGCACAGTGAGCTTTAAAATAGCCCAAGATTTGTACAAATGAGTAGATGTTAAGAAACAGTAATGTGGCCAAACAGTAGGAGCTAAATATTAGAGTGAAATTAATGATCTAAAAATACAGGCATGGATGTCACAAATATATTCTGAGGGAAATGAGAGTATTAAAGTTTATACCATTTACAAACTATACAAAACATTTTTAAGGATAATTATTACTTAGGGACTATATACTATTTCAAAGTAGTATTTTTATGGGTACCTAAATGTGACATAAATATAGAGTACATGTAAATAGCCTCAAATATAGGCCAGTGGTTATTTCTGGAAAGGCCAGTAAGGCAATAAAAGTAGGAGGAGAGGTGTTAGCGCCAAGGAGGTGTCAGCTAATATGAGCAATGTTCATTAAATTGGTATTTGTTTCCCTCAACCTCTTAGGTGTATAAAATATATCATGATAACATTTAAAAGTGGGAGAGGCAGGGGTTGAGGACGGACGGGCTTAGAGGTGCAGCACTCTGACCTGGCATATAGGAGGCCTGGATTCCACTCCCAACACCACAAAACAGGAGAGAGACGGGGAGGTAAAACATAACCTGAATCTGACCCTTCTCTGGAGCTCTGAGATGAGTAGAGTTGATTGAACATGACACCAAAGCATGCCCAGCTGCTCCCTGTTGTGAGGAATCGTGATGGCAAGGAAGGGAGGCCCATTCCAACTCCATCCAAGTCCTGGGCAATGCAGGATCCCGCTGTTCGGTAGCCTCCTGGAAGAGTGAATTTCCACCTCACCAACCCCACAGGCTGTGGCATTTCCGCGGGGCAGACCCAACCTGCACTCCTGAAAATGTGTGTTTGGTGTTCTCACTTTCAAAGGCTTTGCTTACATTTGGGAAACGTAAATTAATCCATCAGTGCCCTGGAGGGCACTTAGGATTGTTCTATTCACAGGATTATTTAATTTAAGTGCATTGAGTGAATAAATCATTTCATATCATACACCTGTAAATGTCTGGAAAAGTTTTGAACTCTGAAAATTCAACTATTTTTCATTTTTGGTGCTTGCAATCCTGATGGACAAGGATGTCTCAGGGTGAAATCCCTAGCCATTTCAGAAATACCCTGATCAGTTAATGTCTTTTTCTGATTCATTTGACAATCTGTGGAGACACGTCTCGTGTTTATCCTTCCTGCATTCCTCATAGAGAGCCACAATCTCAATTTGCAAGTGCAATTTTCAAGTATGATGGTTTGTGAGGATAAAAATACCAATCCATGATAAAACAGTTCTCCAAAAATAAAATTGTTATTCATACATAATTGAAAATTTTAAAACAATTATCTCAAACAATCATGCCTTTCATGTTGAGGAGGAAAAATTGTTCTTCCAAATATGTTTTATAATGAATAATTTATATATTCAAGGCATTTCTAAGATCATAAAGTTTGCTTCTAACCAGGAGAACTCTGCAAATCTGTGATAATTCACTGGAGAGGACAAATGCCATTACTGAAAATGATCAGCAGAAATATCAATGTATTGATGATTAGAAGGCGAGCCCATAGCAGCTTCCTGTTTGAATCCCAGGGCCCTGGTCTCCTGCATTCTATTTTAGCAACAGTGCTGTTAGTAATGGTCCACATCTTCTAATCTATTCCACTGATCCTCGGGTCTGTTTCTTTGCCAGTACAATGCTGTTTTTATCACAGTAGCTTTGTAGTATAGTTTCAAGTTGGGAGTTGTGATACCCCCAGCCATGTCTCTGTTACCCAGAATTGCTTTTGCTATTCTAGGTCTCTTCTGCTTCCAAATGAATTTTTGGATTGTTTTCTCTAATTCTGTGAAGTATATTGTTGGAATTTCAATCGGTATTGCATTAAATCTATATAGCAGTTTTGGAAGTATGGCCATTTTCACTATATTGATTCTTCCTACCCAGGAACAAGGGATCTTTCCATTTTCTTATACCCTCTTCGATCTTCTTCAGAGTGCTGTAGTTTTCAGTGTAGAGGTCTTTTGCTTCCTTTGTTAGATTGATTCCTAGATATTTCATTTTTTTAGATGCTATTGTAAAAGGAATTGTTTCCCGAATTTCTCTCTCAATGGGTCTGTTATTTATGTATAAGAAGGCTATTGTTTTTTGAGTGTTGACCTTATATCCAGCTACTCTACTGAATCTGTCTATTAGGTCTAGAAGGCTTTTGACCAAGTTTTTTGGGTCCTCTATGTAAAGTATCAATATATGTGCACCCATGTTTATAGTGGCACAGTTTGGAAACAGCCCAAGTGCCCATCAACTGGAAACTGGATAAAGAAGATGTGGTTTTTTTATAAAATGGAGTACTAATCAGCCATAAAGAATGAGAAACTAGAGTCATTTATAGCTAAATGGATGCACATTGAGGCGATACTCTTAAGTGAAATAAATAGGACACACATGGGTAAATACCAATAGTATCTCTAGTGTGAGAAACTCAAAGTGTAAATAAGGATGAAAATGATTAAAATGAATAATTGATAATTTGAAATAGGAAAAGGTCCAAAGGTGGAGGGGTGGTGGGAGGGGAAGGGGAAAGGGAAGAAGGGAAAGGAAAAATTATGAGAAAGAAAAAAAATGGAAACAAAGTCTATGTAAATAGAGAAGGTTGGTGGGGGTGAAGGGCGCACAGGTAATGGGGAAAAAAATAAGAACTAAGATACATCATGTTCAAGTACAAGCACCCAATGATAGATGTAAATGTACTGTATACCTGAAATGTACCAATAAGTATATAAATAAAATAAATCAATCAATCAATCAATCAAGAGCAATGGTCCACACCACTGGAGATCTTAGCATGCCCCACACACCGCCCCAAGCCTTTCCTTCCTTGTCTCCTTTCATCCTCATAACAACTTTACAAAGGAGGAACTAAGGAACCAGAAAATCCCAAATGCCAGGGCTTCCTTTTTAATCCAGAATTCAGGGCCACAGCTTCTTGATTTCATTTTGAAAATGTTGTGAACTGAAGTGTGCTGGGAAGGGAAAAGAAGATTTTTATTTTAAAGCAGCATAGAATATATGTTTCTGCAAGGTATAAATTCTCCTGTCCATTTCTGAGCCTTTCTTTCTGAATAGTGAAATTGTTTCTGAATGAAAAAAAAAAAAATCAGCTAGCACTTTTTTTTAGCATTTGATCATTATATTTGTTGGCAGACCTGTTATAACCTTGAGTCACCTACAGTGAATTTAAGTATTATTCCAATTGATTTTTTCACTGCTTACTGAGAAACAGAGCACCTCTTTCACTGCTCTCATAAATAATTCCATCTCTCTCCGTCAGTGTTAACTGAACGTACCTCATGTTGTCAATCTCTCTTTCTTCCTTGCAGGTGATGTCATTGTCTATATTAATGAAGTTTGTGTCCTTGGACACACTCATGCAGATGTTGTCAAACTTTTCCAGTCTGTTCCCATTGGCCAGAGTGTCGGCCTGGTGTTGTGTCGTGGCTACCCTTTGCCCTTTGACCCGGAAGATCCAGCTAACAGCATGGTGCCACCCCTTGCAGTAGTGGAGAGGCCACCTCCCATGATGGCCAACGGAAGGCATAACTATGAAACATATTTGGAATACATTTCTCGGACCTCACAGTCGGCTCCGGATATTACAGATCGGCCGCCTCACTCTTTGCATTCCATACCAGCTGATGGGCAGCTAGATGGCACGTATCCACCACCCGTCCATGACGACAATGTGTCTATGGCTTCATCTGGGGCCACCCAAGCTGAACTTATGACCTTAACCATTGTGAAAGGTGCCCAGGGCTTCGGCTTCACCATTGCCGACAGTCCTACAGGACAGCGGGTGAAACAAATACTTGACATTCAGGGATGTCCTGGCCTGTGTGAAGGCGACCTCATTGTTGAGATCAACCAGCAGAATGTACAGAACCTGAGCCATACGGAAGTAGTGGATATACTTAAGGACTGCCCCATTGGAAGTGAGACATCTTTGATCATCCATCGAGGAGGTAAGACAAACTGGCTCAGCAATGCAGGGTGCAAGTAAAACAGTAGGACATTTAGAGTAATCTTGTTAAAGTGGAGGTTTCTGTACAGTGGAATGAAGTCATGCTTTTTAAAACAGTGGTCAGAGAGTAATAGTGAAAACATGAGTGCAGGAAGCTGGATATTTGAATTTTGAGAATATATCTTTTCCTAGATTATACTACACAAACTCATAATAGTGCTTTCAGTCTTACCAAAATTTTGCCATAAACTTGGAGGGTAGAGATTGAATCTCCGGCTATGAATGTCTTCTATTTCAAAAGCTCACCAGCATGTCAGCTGTTGGGGACTCAGGCTGGCTGCCCACTGGATTGAATGAGGAGCCTGCTCTGCCAGGCCATGGAGGGGGTGCTCTGAATTGTGCGTAGGATTCGGGGCTGGCAGGGGGAGCTAGTCCAGCTCCTGCCAGGCCCAAGCATAGGCTCCATAACCACCATGGGGCCCACAGTGCAATTTTCAGAGTTCCGAAGTGTGGCTCAAGGCACATCTTCTCCATTAGGGCTACTACTTCCACCACCTTCTGTGACCTGGGAAGAAAGCACAGAAGGGCCTGTGTTCTGAATGAAGGGTGCAAATGGGAACAGCAAGGAAGGTGTGAGAGCTCTGTCTGGGAAGGACATTTCTTCCGCCCTGCCTTCTCTGTGGGGAGGGAATGGGCAAAACACAGGGCCCCTCTCTGCTTCTCTTAATGATCGGTGCCAAAAAGTAAAAGCAAATCTGCCACCGTGTTCTTGATCTGTGAAACTGGGGCTGAGGGAGGGGAGGGACCACAGGTAAAGCGAGTCCTCCAAAACCTACAGCCTAAAGGCAGAGACTCGCTGGGTCGGGCTGGGCTGCTCAGAACACGGGAGGCTCAGCCACCTGACCTATCCCAGGGGACAGTGACCCCCAGCCCTCAGTGAGTGTCCTTAGCTCTGAGTGGCCCAGAGCAGGTGTGCACTCCCTCTCTGTGGAGTCTAAAGTAACTCCGAGGCCTGGCAGAGAAGTGTGGGGAGGAGCAGTACTGTGAGGAAGTCGTGCATGAAGAGCACATGTGTGGCAGGCATATGTGACAGGCTGGGCAAGCTCTCAGACCCACAGGAAAGCCCTGGAGTTCCGGCTGGGAGTGAAAGAAGCACACGTGCGACTCCTCTGACCCTCTCTGCAGGTGTTTTCCCTTCGAGGAGGTGACACATTGTTGATTCACCAAGTGCTATGTGCTTCTGAGCAATACCAAATGCAGTATGAGGTGCATACGTTAAAAGTGGAAGTTACTGTGATTGCAAAGCCACGCTAAACTTCACCTCCTTAAGGCATTGTTACAAAACAGTACTTGAATTGAGGTGGTTAAGTGTTGATCGCGTATTTTTAATTTCTCCCATTGCTTATTTAAGATTAAAACACACATTCCTAATTAAATAGCCACGTGTTCGTAATGTCTGCTTGAAAATCTCATTTTTGGAACAGGTTCTTAATACTGAAAGGCATAACTGAAACCACTGGGCAGGGTCCAGTGTATGATTCATAGAAATAAATCTGGGCATAGTTGATGTGGTGGCTTCGTCTGAAAGCATGACAGAGCAGGAGAGTGTACTTTGAAACGCTTTCTTTATCTTACTGTCGTCAGTACCTTTCTGAACATTGTGCACCTGCCGTCAGGAGGGTGGTCCTGTTCTCGGTCACTCTCCTCCTCTCACTCTCCTGTTCTGTCCTGCTCACTCATTTTATCCTCAAATAATCAACGTTTTGTTTGTTTTGGAGAGGAGTGACTTGCTTTTAATTTGGGGCTACTGTAGAATTACGGAATGGAGTGCCGTGAGATGCTTAAAGTGCTTCTAGTAAAAAAAATAAATAAAACACTCTTGAATTTCCCCAAATCCCTGTGGTGTGTACTGATCTCTCTGAAATTAATAGGAGCTAGCACCAAGGTGATGAGAGTCACTTTGACTATCTTACAGGCTAATCAGAAGTGTTTATTCTCATTCAGATAAGCATAGATTTTCAAGAGAAGGTCACAGGTCTTGGTCCTTATCTCAGGACCATGATTGGTTGTTATTATTTCCAGCACTGTATTTTGTATTTATAAAGGAAAAATGTACATGGCTGAATTCTCAAAGCAACTAATACCAGAAAGTACCCAGTGGAAAGCAGTTATCTGTCCCATCCCCATGCTTTCAGTTCTTTCTCCCAAACACATACATGTTTTGCATGTGTGCTTCCAGAAGGCTGGTGGTCTACTAGCACATAGATGAGTAGGTGTAGTACATTCAGTATAGACAGGATGATCTCATACATACATATGCCTCGCTATAAACTCTTAGTTGTAAGTGTTTACTTAACTTTTTTGGCATACACTATGTGGTGTAATTTACATCACATTAAATTTACCTCTTGTGTGTCTTTCATTATGTTTTGCTAGTGGTGCAGTTGTGTAATCAAGACCATAAATCCTTGGGATGTCATTATCCCAAGTGCTCCAGTGCCCATTTGGTGCCTGTCCTCTCTCATACCCCCAGCCCCAGGTAACCACAAATCTGCTACCCAGTTTTGCCTCTCCAGAATATTTTTATAAATGGAATCATGTAGTAGTTAGCATTTTACTTAGCATCACACTATTGAGAATTACCCAATGGATACATGTATCAGTGATTCCTGTTGACTATTGTATGAACCTGGTTTTTGTCTATTCATCAGTGATTAGATATATGAATTATTTTCACTCTGGGTACTTATGAATAATTTTGATAAAAATATTTGGATACAAGTGATTGCTTGTACATATGTTTTCATTTTTCTTGGTCAGACAGCTAGGCATGGTGTTGCTGAAAACTATGCAAAGTGTACACTTACAATTGTTAAATAGCTATACTTTTGTGTATAAGGCTTCCAATTATTGCCGATTGTTTCCCATATTTGGTATAATGGGCTTTTTTAAAATATAGTCATTCTAGTGAGTGTGTACTGCTACTTTTTTTGGTTTTAATTTACATCTCCTTAATCCTTTTACATTTTTTCATGTGTTTATTAGCATTAACATATCTTCTTTGGTAAAATGCCTAATTGAATAGTTTGCCCATTTATAATATTGGGGTTTTTTTGTCTTCTTGAGTTATAAAAGTTCCTTATAATAATCAGAGTGCAAGTCCTTTTTAAATACCTTCGCACAGTGGCAGTATCGTAGCCAATGAGGTTTATCTGAGGTGTGATGATTATTGCAAATTAAAATAAATGATTTGCAAATATTTTATCCAAATCTGTGACTTGTCATTTCATTTTCTTTGTGGTGACTTTTGAAGCACAAAAGGTTTCTAATTTTGAGAAAGTCAAATTTATCAATTTTTTTTTTGCATGGATCTTTCTTTCGGTGTTATATCTTTGCCTAACCCAAAACTGCAGTTTTTCCTATGTTTTCATCTACAAGATCTCTCTCTATATAACTTATATTTAGGTCTATAAGCCAATTTAAGATAATGTTTATCTATAATGTGAAATTGAAAGGACTTAATTCATTTTCTGCATGTGCATATTCAATTGTTCTAGCACCAGTTTCCTGAAAATCTATTCTTTCCCACTGAATTGCCTTGGCACTTTTGACAAAGATTAATTAGTAGAAATGTGGAGGCTTATTTCTAGACTCTATTCTTTTCCATTGAACTGTATGTCTATTATGTTAACAGTACACTATCTAGATTACTGTAGCTTTATGTTGTGTATTGAAATGAGAGTGTGTCCTACGACTCTTTTCTCCTTTTTCAAAATGATTTTGTCTATTCCAGGCCCTCTGAATTTCCATAGAAATAGAAATTTTAGGATTGGGTTTTTAAATTATCTTGTTAAAGGCCTGCTGAGACTAGAGTTGCCCTGAACCTACAGCACAATTTTCCTCTTTAACAACTAAACCTCTCAGTTCTTAAATGCGGTACACACAGCTCTTCATTCATTTGGGCATTCCTTAATCTCTCAGCACTGGTTTATCATCTTGAATGTACAAATCTTTACTTCTTTTGTTATACTTGTTCCTAGCTATTTATTGTTCTTGATGTTATTGTAAATAGTATTGTTTTCTTGCTTTGGGTGGTGGTAGTGGTGATGGTGGTTGTTTTTGTTTGGTACTGGAAAATGAATCCAGCAGCATTCTACCACCGAAGTATATCCCCCCACCACCACCCCTTTTTGCAGACAGTGTCTTTGTTATTTTCCTGGGACAAAATATCTGACACCCACAACTTAAAGGAGGAGCAGTTTATTTTGGCTCATGTTTCAGTCCATGGTCTGCTGGCTCCAAGGCAGGCTGGCATGGCACAAGGCCATGGCAGAGAAGAAACGCTCACAGCATGGGGAAGAGGAAGTAGAGTGCAGGGAGGCATGGAGAGGGGAGATGGACCCTTGCAGGCCACACCCCCAGTGACTCACTTCTTCAGACCTGGCTCCACCTTGGAACAGCACATTCAGCTGTTAGACTGGTCCATCCATGAGCATAGCACCCCCATGATCCATAACCTTCCAGGAGCCCCACCCATGAGCACATAAGGCTCCTGGAAGACATCTAGATATAAACCATAACAGGGTCTTGCTGAGTTGCCCAGGCTAGACTTGTACTCAAAGTTCTCATGCCTCAATCTCTTAAGCTGAAATTACAGAGAATTATTTTCTTAATGTCATTTCCAAATTATTTGTTGCTAGTATATATAAATGCATTTGTTTTTTGTTCTTGTATACTGCAAATTTATTAAACTCACTTTTCAGATCTGAGGCTTTTTGAGATCCCATAGTAGTTTTCTATTTCCTCCATTCAAATTTTCAGACTTCTGTTTCTTTTCCTTGCCTTACTACACTGGTTAGAACTTTCAGTACACAGTTGGATGCAGGCATATGAGCAGACATCCTTTGTTGCCAATTTTAGGAGGAATGCTTTAGTCTTACACCATTAAAGTGTGATTTTCAGTGCAAGCTTTTATGTGCCCTTTTTCAAGGTGAGAAAGTT